AACGAAGTTATCCGACGTCAGGTAGGCATGGCGCCGGTGGAAGATAAATTGCGGGAAGCGAGGTTGAGATGGTTTGGTCATGTGAGACGGCGGGATGCTGACGCCCCTGTACGGAGATGCGAGCGGATTACGGTTTTCGGGGGAAGTAGGGGAAGGGGTAGACCTAAGAAGAATTGGAAGGAAGTGATTAGACAGGATTTAGGACTTCTCACCCTGACTGAGGATATGGCTTTAGATAGGAACCTTTGGAGAACTAGGATTAGAGTAGCTGGTTAGGAACTCGGTGCTATAGAGGTTTTTGTAGTGTGTTGTGTTTGTTTGGAATCTTTTATTAATGCTTGTAGAACTTTCTTTTCATTGTACTTGGTGTTTTATCCATGCTATTCTGTATACCCTATCATATCTTTTGTGCAGGTTGAGCCGGGGGTCTCTTGGAAACAGCCTCCCTGCTTCCAAGTAGGGGCAAGGTCTGCGTACACACACCCTCCCCAGACCCTACTGTAGTGGGATCCAACTGGGTTGTTGTTGTTGTTGTATTCCAGTTCCCTCTATGGTGAAAGAGAAGAGTTGCACACATTATAAAAACCTTTACTCAAAAACTTGCATATTTATACATCTGTCTTCTACTATGTAGTTTTTGCTAATAAAATGATGCACCATGAATTCATCGAACTTACACTAGCACCATTTTTCTTTTACGTTTTCCTAAACACCAGATACAGATTTCAAGGGATGCCACAACAAATAAAAGAGCTCAGCTTTCACCCAATTAGATTTTTACAGATACCATTAAATGATGTCTTAAATTTTTCGAATCTACATGACATGATTAAAATAATTTATGTCTTTAAACGAGTTGAAGCTGAAAATTTCTTTCAAGTGAGTTCACTTAACCCTTGGGCATCAGCCAAAACGCAGATTTTTAAAATAAAAAATAAAAACCATAACAAACATCACCCTTTGACTAACTCTGATGCCAAACATTTTAAAATGATCCATACTACCTTTTCCAAATCATTCTAAAACCATCTAAGGTCTAGTCCAACTACCACAAATGAAATAGCCAATCTTTCACCTACACTATTCATATATCATACTAAAAAAATCATATCTCTGACAATTCATAAATCATACTCAAATTAATTATATCTTTAACAAATCATAAATCATATTGTCCAGCAGAGTAATATTTAATAAGGGGATGATCACGGGGATTTGAAAGAGAAGAAAAGAAAATGAAGTGGAGAACAGTTTTTCTTGTTTGGTTAGTGAAGAAAAGAGAGGAGAAGTGAAAGGAAAAGAAAATGAGAAAGAAAAATACACTAAGTGGAGGGAAAACCAAATCCCTCTCATATTAGTGAGGAAATTGAGAGAAAATCATTTTCTTTTCTTTTTCTTCCGAATTTCTTGAACCAAACACAGATGTTAAAGCAAGACCACTCACTCACTTGGAATCGTAAGAAGCCGTCTACCCTCTTCGAAAGTAAGCAATCCCAACTCATTTCCCTTGACAACAAAGCACTTTGACTAGCTTGAGGACGTTGATTGGAAACTACAGTTGCATCGAATTCCTCCCTAGTCTATTTAAACCAAAGATCTTTTAGCTTCATTATGTGCATGAGGTATTGATAATTGTACAGATCAGCTTAAAATTTCCAAAGCAATAGAAATAACTTACAGTGAATGGAATTTCAAAGGTAGAAAGAGTCATTGATTAATATCCATATATGGTGTTAAAGTTCTCCCTAGTTGGTGCTATGCATGGATGGAATAACACTTGTTTCCCCATGGTCTTCCTACTACGGCCGGAGATAGACAACTGACCCTAGCTACCCAAGTTTCTTATCTTATTTGGTGATATCACCACTCACCAGGATAAAGAACAGAGCTAAAAAAAACTAAACGCTGCTCTGGTCACTTGTGAAGGGCAAGGGGAACTGCGGTCGGTCACAAAAGCAAATGAAGATGACAAATGATGTGGCAAATGGTGGCATCAATCTGGTTGAGTACGGAAGTCCTTGGCTGAAGGTCCACGAGGCAATAGACCAATGGTGTGAAAGAGGCATGGGCTGCATGCAACTATGGGCAGACCCAAACATTTCAAGTCACCGGGTTTTCGTTATGAAAATTCGCGTCAACACACCAGATGTGGAGCATTAAGTAAACAAAATTTATAAAATTAAAGGTTATATATATATATATATATATATATATATATATATATATATATATATATATATATATATATATGAGTGAGAGAGAGAGAGAGAAGATGTCAAGAGAGAGTGGGGCGATTTCCGGTGAATGTCCGGCAAACAGAATCTTTCCCGTCAGGTGGAAGCAAGCTTTTTTCTCAACTGTTAAGAGATGGGGAAGCTGAATTGGGAAAGCAATCCACACTGGGAGAAACTCCGCAGATTACCTTCTCTGCTAGACATCAAAAAGCTCTCAAACAAATATGCTAATGCAGTAGGTTGCCGAAGTGCAAAGGAAGTCTCGACAGATGAGGTCTACAAATTTTAATCCGGCGGGGGGGGGGGGGGGGGGGG